TAAAAGCGTGCCGATGCGGATTGCAGGCATTGGTGGCGGACGGTGTGCATGATCTGCAGCCTAACGCCAAGGGGTCTCGGGATGGGTGTATCAGAAGTAACCCATTCATCGAATGGAAACTGTGAATGTGCAATGTGTCGGTAACCATATTATAGAATGTCGGCGCAGGTGGGAGAAATGTACTACAAACATCCTTCGACGCTACGCGACATTCAAAAATGATAATAAGTCGTGGTTGGTAGGAAAGTACAACCTGGTAAGAGACACGTGAAAATGTCTGGCCATATGAGACAAGCAAATAGTGCTATGCGTGTTTCCATCCGATCGCACAGAGCTCTTTCATGGCAGAGGATTCCAGTGGGCTCCCATCCTCTTTCATCCATGCTGCGTTGACCCGAGCCTTTACTGCCTGATCCACACCACCGTCAGCGGCCAGATCGCTCCCAAGGTATCGGAAGCTTCCACAATTACGATGATTGCCTCGATTGGCTGTGTGCCCTCCTTAGAGCTCAGGGATTTGGTCTCCTCGATGTTCGAAAATCCTCCTTCTGCCACACTTCCTGCCATTTCTGCACCTTGCCTTGAAGTTCTTCTCTGCTATCCGCTATCAGGGCGATGTCGTCAGCGTAGAGGATGGTCTTTAATGGCCCTTCCATGAGGCATTCTCACCATGACATCTAATTCTAAGAGGAAGAGTAAAGGGTCCATTGCTGCTTCTTCCCATTAGTCCCCAACCCGATGTTAAAGGAAGCGATTACGATAAAGAGGGAGCGCATCGGGGAAGCATGTGCACCACACGAATCAGTTACTTGGCTGCCAGGGAAGCGAGATGTGGCGCTTTCACAACGAAAGGTGCGCTGGTTGCTGAGCAGGACTTCGAAAGCGCTCCGCCCCCAAAAGCGATCCGCCCACTAGTTTACTTGTTGATTTGGACGAGCTGCGTGGCCAGCAGCGGCGCAAATGGAGCATCTCGATTAAAGCGTTGTTTGGGGTATGGTGCCATCAGAGGTGGAGACCTCGGAAGTCACTAATTGTAAGGGACGTCTATCCGGACCAACGTGGAGCCGCACGAGCTGTAGGCGATCACCAACTCACGAAGCTATGCAGAGGCGATAAAGGAAGATCTCAAGGAGCGAAGAGCAGCAGTATTAGCTGAAGCAGCAGAGGCTGGGAGGAGCATCCGCAATGCCCGCCGAAGCTTTGCCAGCTACAAGACCAAGATGACCTGCCTCCGACGTCCGGATGGAACAGTTACTGCATCCCGAAGGGCAATGGAGAAAGTCATCCACGACTTCTACTCGGATCTCTTCGATAGCCATGTCCATCTGCCTACTTATCAACTGCAACAGGATGGATACGTCGTCCCTCAGTTCTCTCTTCCGAAGTCCGACACGCCATCAAGTCGGTGAAGAATCGTACAGCACCCGGTCTCGACAGGGTTAAACCGGAACATCTGAAGAATGCACCGCCAGTTATCATCAAAACTCTGGCTCGACTCTTCACGCGCTACCTGTCGGAATGCAAGGTACCCACTCCGTGGAAAACCAGCAGGACCGTGTTGCTGTACAAGAAGGGAGACTTGGACGACATTGGCAACTATCGCCCAATCTGCCTGCTGTCTGTAATCTACAAGCTATTCACTCGAGTCATCCTTAACAGGATCGGCAGAATACTAGATGAAGGACAGCCATGCGAGCAAGCAGGGTTCCGAAGAGGGTTCAGCACGATCGACCATATCCACACGGTTACGAGACTCATTGAAGTTTCACGAGAGTACAAGATGCCGCTTTGTCTCACGTTCATCGACTTGAAGAAGGCCTTCGACTCTGTGGAGACAGAAGCGGTCATCGAAGCCTTGGGCAACCAGGGCGTCCCTACTCAGTACATAAGATTCTTCGTGAGCTCTACAAAGGTCATCATCGACGTCAAGAGAGGGGTTCGACAGGGCGACACCATCTCGCCCAAACTCTTCAGCGCCGCTCTCGAGAACGTCATGCGTCAACTGGAATGGGAAGATAAAAGAGTGAAGGTCGACGCTACTTTAACTAAACCACCTTCGTTTTGTAAAGCGAAGGTGGTGTAGTTGAAGTAGCGTCGTCGTTGGTACCCTGAGGTCGTAAAAAGGTATTTTGAAATTTGCGCAACGCACGGTTGACCCTGGAGCCACTTAGGATCTGGGGCCGTATGCAACAGTACCTCAGCCGGGGATGGGTCCCCAAAACTCTGTGCCTCCTGTCGAGTACGAGAATGGGGGCGCCCAGAGTCGGAGACCTTTGCGACCTATACCCGGCGGTCTCAGTACTTCTGTCAACCGTGGCTTGGCGGTTCAGCGTTTTGTAGTGATGTCTGGGAGCTTCACAAGTGCACACTGCAGCATCTCTTTTCTTTATCTTCTTCAAAAGGCTTAGTCCCAATAAGACACAAAGTGTGTGCTTTTCCAGCTACGCTCTCACTTTGGTTGACAGAAGCCTTGTAACCATCCCCGGCTGGATACTGCTGCATAGCTGCATGCGGCTCCGATTAGCGAAGGCGCCTGTACATTCACGGGCTTCTAGACAGCACTCACCGACTCCTTGGATAAAAACACTCGAATCGCTAGCAAATCGTACGAGCGATCCAGTGCTTCACCTCCGTGAGCAGAATCAGGCGTCAGTAACGGTAGCAGTTGTGGGTACGCAACTGCACCCTGAGGATTATAAGTGTTTACGCAACGCCTTTCCATTCCGGTTCTTAGCAGTAAGTACTCGTTCCTTTACTGTGAATTGCTACAATGTCGCCGTCCAATATCTACCAGTTTAACGTGAAAGACGCTGATGGCAAAGGATGTTTCACTGGAGAAGTATAAGTGGGTTTTTCTTTACTTTTAGTGGTTTTCTTTTAGATCTTAAGCTTTGAAGCACTCACCGCTGCTAAGTGAGTTGGGGGAGCGCGTAGCGGCACGGCGTGCGTCAAACGCGATGTTAAGCAACGATTTGAGTAATTAGTTTCTGTCCCAAATATACAAAAGCGAACCAGCAAAAGTGTTCACATCGGGCCGTAGATCTTAAGGCCGATGCCTGACTTTACGAATCACGGCGCAATGTGGCTAGGGGACCAGTCGCCGCGCGCGATTTCTGCGTTTTTCTGTGTAAGCATTTCCTCTTCGCTAAATCGGGACTAAGCCTCGGGCAGGGGAGGAGGAACTCCAGGATCATAGCAATTTTCATCTTCCCAAAGTTCCTGCCCACTCCTAGGCTTAGTACTACAGGGCGCGGACGAGCAGAGATCGCGCGCGGCGACTGGCCCCATTCGAGCCACATTGCGCCCGAATCGCTAGCTGTGAACTCCTCAATTCGCGAATTCTGTCATCGGCCTAAACGAGTTCTCTGAACTGTTCTGAATACCCAACTCATGCACTCTGTTTGGGTTTTATAACCTACTCATGCTCAAAGGAATTATGACTGGCTTTCGGCCGGTGCAGACTTTGCCAATCGCAGGGTACGAGCGATGCGCCAGCGAATCAAACTATGCATCAGAGAATCGAACGATCACCAGCGGTTCGAACTATGTACCAGCGACCGAATCGTCTTTGGAAGTGGTGAGAGTCCCTGTCGTTTGCACGTCAACTCTCGACACTTCCCCAGGTTCACGTGAGCATGAGTGAGCGAGAGGCTATGAAAGCCCGGAAAGTGGCGCGGTAGGCCCTGTTCAGAGATGTCCGCCGGCGCGAAAAAACGCACAGGCGAAAATCTCCGCCAAGATTTAGATACGCATCGACTGAGAAATTGTGAAACGCGTAAGCGAAACGTCCGGAGCAGGCGAATTTCAGTCAAGAGTTTGATATGTATCGACTGTGAAAAACGCACAGGCGAAAATCTCCGCCAAGATTTTGATACGCATCGACTGAGAAATTGTGAAACGCGTAAGCGAAACGTCC